GCGTAGAGGTATATTTTATTTTTTTAACAAGTCGGCAGTCTCCCACCGAGGCAGGGTGACCCAAAAAAAGAAAGAAAATCCCCAAAAAGAAAATACTTTCATCATCATTCAACACTTTCACCTCACTCACACATAATCACTGTTTTTGCAGAGGTGCTCAGAACACAACAGTTTAGAAGCATATATGTATAAAGATACACAACATATCCCTCCAAACTGCCAATATCCTGAACCCCTCCTTTAGAGTGCAGGCACTGTACTTCCCATTTCCAGTACTCAAGTCCGGCTATATAAAAATAACCAGTTTCCCTGTATCCCTTCACTAAATATTACCCTGCTCACACTCCAACAGATCGTCAGGTCCCAAATGCCATTCGTCTCCATTCACACCTATCTAACCCGCTCACCCTCCTGCTAATATTAACCTCCCACATCTCATTTCCCCCTCCTTTCCAATATTTAACACCGCACCGCCCTTCCCTACAGATTTATCACTCCTCCACCATCTCCTTTGCTTCATTCTCCTAAAAGACCAAGCTACTCTTCAACCCACCTTATGGCCCCTCTACATGGCTATTATATACTCCAAAATCAACACAATTCCACACTCTGAATTTCTGCTTATTTAATTATTCACCGACATTGTTCCATGATTCCAACTGCCTAAATCGCTTTCTCGTCTGTTGAATTTAACAAAATCAGCCGTAATGCTTCACAAATTATGGAACGGCTTCCACCAGTGGTATTTATCATCCACAACAACACAAACACACTTATACAAACGTAAGATAGGTGTAACACTAGAGATATGCCTGTGTCCATATTATGATATTCCTTATAAACCAATATAAAATTACCATAGATAAAAGCGTAAGTGAATATAGTCCATTCTCCAACAGTATTTATCATCCCTCTCACACAAACTCTATAGAACATAAGAAAGGAGGAACACTGCAGTAGGCCTGCTGGCCCATACTAGGCCTAGTCCTTCACAAATCCAACCCACTAACAGAACAAATGCTACCCAAGCAATAAGCTCAGGTGCAAGTCCGCAATCCAACCCCTCTAACTCTTGTATTCATCCAACCTAAATTTGAAACTACCCAATGTTTTAGCTTTGATCACCCTACTAGGCAGACCGTTCCACTCATCAACTACCCCTATTACCAATGTTCATTTATACATTTTATTAGTGCTTTACATTTATCTGGCATTCTTTTCTGCATGTAAATCTATATTTATGCTAGGGAAGTGACCCCTGAAGTGACCTAGAATCCTTATGGAGGGGGATTCCCTTTCCAAACAATAACCTCTCTTCCCTCTCTCCTCCTCCCTGTCTTCCATTCATCAACAACAGCCTTCAATAAAGGTAACTGTCATGTTGAATGTTCATTCTTTTGTGCATGTAAATCTATCTTTTAGGTAAAAAAAAAAAATTGTTGTTGATACTTCTGGGTGTCTGGAACGAATTAACTGGATTTAATTATTTCTTATGGGGAAAATTGATTCAAAAATCGTCCATTTCGATAACAGTCCCACTTCCAGGAACGGATTAAGGACGATAATTGAGGGACCACTGTATATATATATATATATATTAGGATGGATAGGGGAGCAATGTGGCAGATGTTGCAAGTGTATGGAATAGGTGTTAGGTTACTGAAACAGTTAAGTTTGTATAAGGATAGTGAGGCTCATGTGAGGGTATGTAGGGGAGGGGGGATGAGAGAGAGAGATCAATTTCCAGTAAAAGTTGGCCTTAGACAGGAATGCATTATGTCACCAAAGTTGTTTAACATATTTATAGATGGGGTTGTAAAAGAATTGAATTGGAGGGTGTTGGAGAGAGGTGTGGGATCAAAATTTATAAAATTTAATACAAAGTGTGAGTTGTCAAAGTTGGTTTTTGCTGACAACACTGTGCTTTTGGGAGAGTCTGAAGAAAGTTGCAAAGGTGAATATAGGAAGAGCAAGGTGATGAGGATAAAAAAAAAAAGGTAATGAAAGAATGGATATCAGAGTGGAAGGAGTAAATTTGGAGGAAGTGAATGTGAGGAGATATGTGAGAGGGGATTTGAACCATAAAATTGAGTGAGGCTCAAGTTAGAGTATGTAGGAAAGAGGGAAGTTATTTCCCAGTAAAAGTAGGCCTTAGACAAGGATGTGTGATGTCACCGTGGTTGTTTAATATATTTATAGATGGGGTTGTAAGAGAAGTAAATGCGAGGGTCTTGGCAAGAGGCGTGGAGTTAAATGATAAAGAATCACACACAAAGTGGGAGTTGTCACAGCTGCTCTTTGCTGATGACACTGTGCTCTTGGGAGATTCTGAAGAGAAGTTGCAGAGATTGGTGGATGAATTTGGTAGGGTGTGCAAAAGAAGAAAATTAAAGGTGAATACAGGAAAGAGTAAGGTTATGAGGATAACAAAAAGATTAGGTGATGAAAGATTGGATATCAGATTGGAGGGAGAGAGTATGGAGGAGGTGAATGTATTCAGATATTTGGGAGTGAACGTGTCAGCGGATGGGTCTATGAAAGATGAGGTGAATCATAGAACTGATGAGGGGAAAAGGGTGAGTGGTGCCCTTAGGAGTCTGTGGAGACAAAGAACTTTGTCCTTGGAGGCAAAGAGGGGAATGTATGAGAGTATAGTTTTACTAACGCTCTTACATGGGTGTGAAGCATGGGTGATGAATGTTGCAGCGAGGAGAAGGCTGGAGGCAGTGGAGATGTCATGTCTGAGGGCAATGTGTGGTGTGAATATAATGCAGAGAATTCGTAGTTTGGAAGTTAGGAGGAGGTGCGGGATTACCAAAACTGTTGTCCAGAGGCTGAGGAAGGGTTGTTGAGGTGGTTCGGACATGTAGAGAGAATGGAGCGAAAGAGAATGACTTCAAGAGTGTATCAGTCTGTAGTGGAAGGAAGGCGGGGTAGGGGTCGGCCTAGGAAAGGTTGGAGGGAGGGGGTAAAGGAGGTTTTGTGTGCAAGGGGCTTGGACTTCCAGCAGGCATGCGTGAGCGTGTTTGATAGGAGTGAATGGAGACAAATGGTTTTTAATACTTGATGTGCTGTTGGAGTGTGAGCAAAGTAACATTTATGAAGGGGTTCAGGGAAACCGGCAGGCCGGACTTGAGTCCTGGAGATGGGAAGTAGTGCCTGCACTCTGAAGGAGGGGTGTTAATGTTGCAGTTTAAAAACTGTAGTGTAAAGCACCCTTCTGGCAAGACAGTGATGGAGTGAATGATGGTGAAAGTTTTTCTTTTTTGGGCCACCCTGCCTTGGTGGGAATTGGCCAGTGTGATAATAAAACAAAAATAAAAAAGGTGGGTAGTGTACTGAAGCATGTGTGGAGACAAAGAACATTATCCACGGGGACAAAAAGGGAAATGTATGAGAGTATAGTGGTACCAACACTCTTGAATAGGTGTGAAGTATAGATTGTGAATGTTGCAGCAAGGAGGAGACTGGTGGCAATGGAGATGTCGTGTCTGAAGGCAATGTGTGGTGTAAATATTATGCAGAGAATTCGTAGTTTGGAGATTAGGAGGTATTGGTTTACTGAAAGTATAATCCAGAGAGCTGAGGAAGGGTTGTGAGGTGGTTTGGACATTAGAGAGGATGGAAAAAAAATAGGAGGGTGTGTAAATCTACAGTAGAGAGAAGGCAGGATATGGGTCACCCTAGGAAAGGTTGGAGGAAGTAAAGGAGGTTTTGTATGCGAGGAGCTTGGATGTTTAGTAAACATGTGTATGTTAGATAGGAATGCAGGCAAGTGGTTTTTATGACTTGACTGCTGAAGAGATTCAGGGAACCAGTTAGCCAGACTTGAGTCCTGGAGTTAGGAAGTACAGTACCTGCACTCTGGAGTACGGGGTGGGAATATTTGCAGCTTGGAAGGGCATCTGAGCTACAGTATTGGCATACCTCTGGTAAGACACTTATGGAGTAAGTGCTGGTGAAAGTGTTGCTACTTTTTCATTTTACCCCACCTTGGTGAGAGAGAGCCTGAGTTACAATAAAATGTTTTTGCTTTCAAAAAATACATAAAGTAAAATTAGAGTAAAAATCATGTAATGCGGAAGTTAGAAAATTAACGATCAACCTTACTCAATTTTACAAGACATAGTGTCACAGTATACTTCTCTTTTATGGAGATTGAACAGACATTATTACTGTGAATACTATATTAATATAAGTCTTGAATTCTAAGTTTTTTTTTTTTTTATCAAACCAGCCCTGTACCACCGAAGCATGGTGGCTTAAAAGAAAAGTGAAAGTTTTTCTTTTCAACTTTACTAATGTATAAAGGCAAAGAGGTTACTAGCCCCTTGCTCCTGGTATTTTAGTAGCCTCTTATGACACGCATGGTTTACGGAGGAAGAATTCTGTTCCACTTCCCCATAGAGATAAGAGGAAATAAACAAGAACATGTAAGAAAATAGAAAACCCATAGGGATGTGTATATATATGCTTGTACATGTATGTGTAGTGTGACCTAAGTGTAAGCAGAAGTAGCAAGACGTACCTGAAATCTTGCATGTTTATGATGCAGAAAAAAGACACTAGCAATCCTACCATCATGTAAAAGAATTACAGGCTTAAAAAGTACAACTGTTTTTATAACTCAATTAATGTTATTACTATTACTTTAAATCTATGTTAAATCTTATGCACTAAATTAAGATTTCATTTAGTGGGTAAGTATCATAGATATTTGTCCATAAAACTCATGAAATCGTAATGACATGATTGCAAACAAGCTATACTACGGGCAGGGATAGAACCAATAATCAGAGAGTCATAAAACTCCAGACCAACACGCTAGCCACTGGGCCAGCTGGCTACAAGATTCATCCAACTAGGTCAGTCTAGAGTTTTAGGACTCTCTGATCACAGGTTCTATCCCTGCCTGTGGTATGGTTTGTCCATATACTTTCTTGAAAAATTACTCTCCTGAAATTTACAATTTGGAACAACATTCCAAGAATTATCCCAACCTGTGTGAGCTGTTCAATTGTTATTTGGGCCTTTTCTGTTGCAGCAGATTGAGCTTCTTGAGCAAGGCGCAGCTCTGCCAACTGTGTCTTGTGATCCAGTAAAAGTTTCTGGATTCAGTGATGAAGGACAAAGGTTGAGTAAGTAAAAAACAAAGGGCAATTAGCAGGTTAATTCAAAGACATGCTTATTCTTTATAAAAAAAAATGATTATATATATGAAGGTTGTATACAAGCAATATTTATGAACAATGGTTCAAAGCTAATGCTAATAATGTACAGAATACACTTCAATTACTACATAAAATACTACCTTCATTTTCTCAGCTCTTTCTCTCTCAGTGGCCTCCTGAGTAGTGAGATGAGCTAGTTGGTCTTGAAGACTATTTGACCGTCCTTTTTCTCTCTCGATTGTTTCTTGCAGCTCAGTTATACAGTAATCTTTCTCTGCCAATTGCCCATTTAGTTCTTCTACTGTAAGCTCATAATCACGCATTTCAAGATCTAGAAGACTTCTAGTTTTTACATCCTGGAAAATGAATAATAATAACAGTAATATCAATAGCCTCCTAGCAAGCTGACTATTTTACATCTTACAGCAAGTGCAAATCAATGTGAGAATTCTTGACTGTCTCATAAATCAACTAATGTTTATCATAATGGTCCTATAACTTCTATTAGTAAGAGAGATTAATCACATTTTAATTTCCATACTTTCTTTAGCACTACTATGCAATATTTTGGAAATCTTAAACTAAAATTCTGTATTAGTAATGGATAGAACTGTTAATGCATACATAAGAACATAAGAAAGGAGGAACACTGCAGCAGGCCTGTTGGCCCATACTAGGCAGGTCCTTTACAATTCATCCCACTAACAAAACATTTGACCAACCCAATTTTCAATGCTACCCAAGAAATAAGCTCTGATGTGCAAATCCCACTCAAATCCAACCCCTCCCACTCATGTACTTATCCAACCTAAATTTGAAACTACCCAAAGTCCTAGCCTCAATAACCCAACTAGGTAGACTGTTCCACTTGTCAACTACCCTATTTCCAAACCAAACGGAACTGTGAAATCTGGATAAGACGTAAAAATCAAGAAAACTTATACTTTTTTTTTTTTTTTTTTTATTATCACACTGGCCGATTCCCACCAAGGCAGGGTGGCCCGAAAAAGAAAAACTTTCACCATCATTCACTCCATCACTGTCTTGCCAGAAGGGTGCTTTACACTACAGTTTTTAAACTGCAACATTAACACCCCTCCTTCAGAGTGCAGGCACTGTACTTCCCATCTCCAGGACTCAAGTCCGGCCTGCCGGTTTCCCTGAATCCCTTCATAAATGTTACTTTGCTCACACTCCAACAGCACGTCAAGTATTAAAAACCATTTGTCTCCATTCACTCCTATCAAACAGGCTCACGCATGCCTGCTGGAAGTCCAAGCCCCTCGCACACAAAACCTCCTTTACCCCCTCCCTCCAACCCTTCCTAGGCCGACCCCTACCCCGCCTTCCTTCCACTACTTATACGTATACAGCAAATATAATGCAGAATCAGTGGTTGGTAAGGTATACTTCACATGATGCAACAACTACAGTCTTATCATTAAGTATAGCTTGGGAGGGGGAAAGGCAGGGTGCCTATAAGGGTCCGTCCCATAGTTCTACATCTTTGAAGCCTGGGGTCCAAGCCGTAGTTCTACGCCATGATCTCAGCTCACTCAGATAAGCTGTGAGTGGTAAATTTGGGCCTAGATATGAGAGAATGGAGCTATGTGGTAAGTGTGCACCATATAAAACAAATCTTGCAGCATGCTGTGCATAATGAGAAAAAAAACTGCGACCGTCTTTTTGGATTAAAACAGCGACTTTGTGGTGTATTTTCATATGGTTTTTATGGTTGAATTTGAAGTTCCTTGGTCTCGTTTGATAGAATGGAAGATATATTACAGAAGTAGAAATTATTTTGATTGGTTTTAATACTGAAAACAGCTTGAAATTGAGCTCAAATTATCGGAAATGTTTGATTTTTGCCAATGCTCAAGAGTAAACAAATGACATCACGCGTCCAATACACATCAACTGGTGGGTCTAATATATGTTCATGAATGCGCTGATATTATTTATACAATTATTACAATATTGCATAACAGTAAATCTATTTTTCGGTGTGAATAAAAAATTCTTTATGTGATCAAAAATTCAAAATGGAATTCATCTGTAAAGCCTGGAAATATAACTAATAAACAGAGGAAATATTATTTTAGTGCCAGGAATGCCTGCATTGTTTATTCTGGATCCTATTTTGAAACTGGAATATTTTGAACTTTGTGTGAAATTGGCCAAATTACCAATTTCTGATCACTTTATTGGGTAGTTGAAATAGGTGGTTGGGCAGTTTCTTGTGCTCAATCGACAAAATAGAAGTGATACTAGCAAAATATCTAAGAATTTGGATGACTGGAATAATATAATTGGCCTAAAATGGAAGTCAAAGTGGGCAAAATTGCCGATGCACAAATATCACTGACACAGTAAAATCCGTGATACTGTAATTTCGTCAGTTTTACATCATATTTCATACTTTTTGTTTTATTACCTTCAGAAAAAGATTCTCTACCATTTCATAAGAAAGAAAGAACAAAATTTTTTTTTTTAAAATTCTTGGACCCTGTAGACAAGGTGGAGAACTATGGCCTGGTCCCTCAAAAGGTTAAGACACCTGTTGTCCCTGTTTCACCAATCAGTAAAATAGGTACCTGGGTGCTAGCCGACTGGTGTTGGTCGTATCCTGGGGACAAAATTTACCTAATTTGCCCAAAATGCTTTGTATAAAAAGGGGCTTTCTAAATTGTAGTATGTCATTGATGTCAGCTAGGTTAGTAAACCTTGTATACATGTACTTGTAGAAATAAATATTATTATTATTAACAATGCAAATGCATCACAAATAAAATAACATTAAGCAATTATTTCTGTTGAACTGAATTTTACTAATTTTTTAATTTTATTATAAACTAAAGTCTAGTGCAAGTAATACTTCAAGCATCACCTGCACAAGATTTCTTTGCAACTGCTTAAGGGAGTAGCAAGGCCTAGCCTTGCAAACTTGTAATAACTTCATATAACTGAACTTTGTCTTTCACTTCTCCATATAGGCTCTCTATAGTTATGTTTGTTTCTCCTGTACTTGAACACCTTTCATTAGACACAGTTAAAGAATTATAGTAAGGAAATAAAAAAACACAGAGCAATCTGCTCTCTTTCTCTTATTTGTCCACGTGAAATGCACCCTTGATTCCTAACTTTAAATCTATGGAAAATGTATTCTGCATGAAGCAGACTCAATTCACATCACTGTTCATCATAACCACAAAATCATGCACACCTGTTTAGCTTCCTCCAGTTCCTTTACAGCGTGGGCTGCTCGCTGCCTTTCCTCTTCAAGTCTTTCTTCTGCTTTCTTTTTTCTGTCTTCTAACAATTGCTGTTTTGTCAATTCTGTTGACAGTCTCTTTTCTAGTGAAGTAATTTGTCCTCTAAGACTTCCTGCTGCAGTTTCTTGACTGGAGATGGTCTCCTCTAAGTTCTAATTAAAACATACATAATACAAAGTCAATATAAATTATGTTTAACTGTCATTTGCAAATAATAAAAATCCAGCAACAAATAAAAAGTCTGCAAAAAATTGAAATAATTTACTGGTAAATGCTCTTATCCAAAAATAAAATATTTCATAGTGGGTGTTGAAGATGTTTACAAGACCCCAAAGATATTACACATGAAAATGTCTAATTAAAATGGAACCCAGTCCCAGTAGCCATTATATACTAATCTTTTAAATACAACCCACAGGATGGGTATGGCATGCATAATTAAACGATGTAATATAATTATATTCATAATGTGCAACTCATCTTATGTAAGTGTTCATTTCAGGTAAAGGGGACCATATTATGAAACAGATTATCAGAATTACTCATAGCATGCATAATGACTATTGATTTTAGAATACTGCTTAGAAGTCTTGTACGTATACAACTTGAGAATGTCACGTTCAGGATTGAACTCATCACTATCTCTCAACCTTCTCACTAAATATTACTCATTTCCTGTCCTTAACTTTTGCTAACTCTCATTGCCCCCACCGCACCCCTGCTCCTCAGTGGGTTTATTTTATACTTCCTCCCATATCTCTCACTCCAGTATGTTGTTATGGCAGTGTGCAGATTTGGGACCAGGCCCTCGAGTACTTTCCAGGTATATATTATCATGCATCTCTCTCTCTCCTCTGCTCCAATGAGTACATGTTCAAGACTTGAAGGCATTCCCAGTAGTTTAGGTGCTTTACTGGCTCAATTTGAGCCGTAAATGATCTTTGTATCTGTTCCAGCTCCAATATTTCTCCTGCCTTGAATGGGGCCGTAAGCACTGAGCAATATTCTAAGAAAGGAAGCACTTGTGATTTGAAGAGTGTCACCATCAGCATTATATCCCTTGTTTGCAAAGTTCTCAATACCCACCCCGTCATCTTCCTGGCTGTCATGATCTTTCTCTTCTTATGGTCTTCAAAAGAAAGGTCAGCTAACATAATTATTCCCAGGTCTTTTATGTGTTCCTTACGTTCTATTTGGTGACCCTCTTGAGTTTTGTACCCTTTTGAGTTCTCCATTCTTTCCATACCTAAGCGGCAGGAACTTATCACCAGTGAACGTCATGTTGTTCTCCACTGCCCACTGGAAAACCCTGCTAATGTCTGTCTGTAATTTTTCAGTGTCCTCTACTGTAGTGATTTTCATGCTTATTTTAGAGGGGCCACAGATATATCAGATCACTTTCTAGTTGTAGCTATAGTGAGAGTAAAAGGTAGATGGGATACAAGGAAAATAGAAGCAGCAAGTAAGAGAGAGGTGAAGGTGTATAAACTAAAAGAGGTGGCAGTTAGGGTAAGATATAAACAACTACTGGAGGATAGATGGGCTAGTGAGAGTATAAGCAATGGGGTCGAAAATGTTGAGTGAATGAATGGGAAGTTTTGAACCAAGTGTGAGAGTAATGGTGGTTGGGGATTTCAATGCTAAAGTGGGTAAAAATATTGTAGAGGGAGTAGTAGATAATTTTGGGGTGCCATGGGTAAATGAAAATGGGGAGCCTTTAATTGAGCTATGTGTAGAAAGAGGTTTGGTAATAAGTAATACATATTTTATGAAGAGGATAAATAAATATACAAGGTATGATATAGCACGTAATGAAAGTAGTTTGTTAGATTATGTATTGGTGGATAAAAGGTTGATGGGTAGGCTTCAGGATGTACATGTATAGAGAGGGGCAATTGATATATCAGATCATTATTTAGTTGTAGCTACAGTTAGAGTAAGAGGTAGGTGGGAAAAGAGGAAAATGGCAACAACAAGCAAGAGGGAGGTGAAAGTGTATAAACTAAGGGACGAGGAAGTTCAAGTCAGATATAAGTAACTATTGGCAGAAAGGTGGGCTGGTGCAAGTATGAGTAGTGAGGGGGTTGAAGAGGGTTGGAATAGTTTTAAAAATGCAGTATTAGAATGTGGGGCAGAAGTCTGTGGTTATAGGAGAGTGGGTGCAGGAGGAATGAGGAGTGATTAGTGGAATGATGAAGTAAAGGGTGTGATTAAAGAGAAAAAGTTAGCTTATGAGAGGTTTTTACAAAGCAGAAGTGTTATAAGAAGAGTAGAGTATATGGAGAATAAAAGAAAGGTGAAGAGAGTGGTGAGAGAGCGCAAAAGGAGAGCAGATGATAGAGTGGGAGAGGCACTGTCAAGGAATTTTAATGAAAATAAGAAAAAAATTTGGAGTTAAACAAGTTAAGAAAGCCTAGAGAACAAATGGATTTGTCAGTTAAAAACAGAGTAGGAGAGTTAGTAGATGGGGAGATGGAGGTTTTGGGTAGATGGCGAGAATATTTTGAGGAACTTTTAAATGTCAACGAAGAAAGGGAAGCGGTAATTTCATGCACTGGCCAGGGAGGTATATCATCTTTTAGGAGTGAAGAACAGGATGCGAGTCTGGGGGAGGTGCGTGAGGCATTACGTAGAATGAAAGGGGGTAAAGCAGCTGGAACTGATGGGATCATGACAGAAATGTTAAAAGCAGGGGGGGATATAGTGTTGGAGTGGTTGGTACTTTTGTTTAACAAATGTATGAAAGAGGGGAAGGTACCTAGGGATTGGCAGAGAGCATGTATAGTCCCTTTATATAAAGGGAAGGGAATAGGATAGCAGATGAACAAGGAGGCTTTAGGAAAGGTAGGGGGTGTGTGGACCAGGTGTTTACAGTGAAACATATAAGTGAACAGTATTTAGATAAGGCTAAAGAGGTCTTTGTGGCATTTATGGATTTGGAAAAGGCGTATGCAGGGTGGATAGGGGGCAATGTGGCAGAGTTGCAATGTATGGTGTAGGAGGTAGGTTACTGAAAGCAGTGAAAGTTTTTACGAGATAGTGAGGCTCAAGTTAGAGTATGTAGGAAAGAGGGAAATTTTTTCCCAGTAAAAGTAGGCCTTAGACAAGGATGTGTGATGTCACCGTGGTTGTTAATATATTATAGATGGGGTTGTAAGAGAAGTAAATGCGAGGGTTTGGCAAGAGGCGTGGAGTTAAAAGATAAAGAATCACACACAAAGTGGGAGTTGTCACAGCTGCTCTTTGCTGATGACACAGTGCTCTTGGGAGATTCTGAAGAGAAGTTGCAGAGATTGGTGGATGAATTTGGTAGGGTGTGCAAAAGAAGAAAATTAAAGGTGAATACAGGAAGAGTAAGGTTATGAGGATAACAAAAAGATTAGGTGATGAAAGATTGAATATCAGATTGGAGGAGAGAGTATGGAGGAGGTGAATGTATTCAGATATTTGGGAGTGGACGTGTCAGCGGATGGGTCTATGAAAGATGAGGTGAATCATAGAATTGATGAGGGAAAAAGAGTGAGTGGTGCACTTAGGAGTCTGTGGAAACAAAGAACTTTGTCCTGGAGCAAAGAGGGGAATGTATGAGAGTATAGTTTTACCAACGCTCTTATATGGGTGTGAAGCGTGGGTGATGAATGTTGCAGCGAGGAGAAGCTGAGGCAGTGGAGATGTCATGTCTGAGGGCAATGTGTGGTGTGAATATAATGCAAGAATTCGTAGTTTGGAAGTTAGGAGGAGGTGCGGGATTACCAAAACTGTTGTCCAGAGGGCTGAGGAAGGTTGTTGAGGTGGTTCGGACATGTAGAGAGAATGGAGCGAAACAGAATGACTTCAAGAGTGTATCAGTCTGTAGTGGAAGGAAGCGGGGTAGGGGTCGGCCTAGAAGGGTTGGAGGGAGGGGGTAAAGGAGGTTTTGTGTGCGAGGGGCTTGGACTTCCAGCAGGCATGCGTGAGCGTGTTTGATAGGAGTGAATGGAGACAAATGGTTTTTAATACTTGACGTGCTGTTGAGTGTGAGCAAAGTAACATTTATGAAGGGATTCAGGGAAACCGGCAGGCCGGACTTGAGTCCTGGAGATGGGAAGTACAGTGCCTGCACTCTGAAGGAGGGGTGTTAATGTTGCAGTTTAAAAACTGTAGTGTAAAGCACCCTTCTGGCAAGACAGTGATGGAGTGAATGATGGTGAAAGTTTTTCTTTTTCGGGCCACCCTGCCTTGGTGGGAATCGGCCGGTGTGATAATAAAAAAATAATAAAAAAAAAGGGGAATAAAAGAGATTGTAAAAATTATAGAGGAATAAGTTTACTGAGTATACCAGGAAAAGTGTACGGTAGGGTTCTAATTGAAAGAATTAGAGGTAAAACAGAACGTAGGATTGCGGATGAGCAAGGAGGTTTTAGAGTGGGTAGGGGATGTGTAGATCAAGTATTTACATTGAGGCATATATGTGAACAGTATTTAGATAAAAGGTAGGGAAGTTTTTATTGCATTTATGGATTTAGAAAAGGCATATGACAGAGTGGATAGGGGAGCAATGTGGCAGATGTTGCAAGTATATGGAATAGGTGGTAAGTTACTAAATGCTGTAAAGAGTTTTTATGAGGATAGTGAGGCTCAGGTTAGGGTGTGTAGAAGAGAAGGAGACTACTTCCCAGTAAAAGTAGGTCTTAGACAGGGATGTGTAATGTCACCATGGTTGTTTAATATATTTATAGATGGGGTTGTAAAAGAAGTAAATGCTAGGGTGTTCGGGAGAGGGGAGGGATTAAATTATGGGGAATCAAATACAAAATCTGAATTGACACAGTTGCTTTTTGCTTATGATATTGTGCTCATGGGAGATTCTAAAGAAAAATGGCAAAGGTTAGTGGATGAGTTTGGGAGTGTCTGTAAAGGTAGAAAGTTGAAAGTGAACATAGAAAAGAGTAAGGTGATGAGGGTATCAAATGATTTAGATAAAGAAAAATTGGATATCAAATTGGGGAGGAGGAGTATGGAAGAAGTGAATGTTTTCAGATACTTGGGAGTTGACATGTCGGCGGATGGATTTATGAAGGATGAGGTTAATCATAGAATTGACGAGGGAAAAAAGGTGAGTGGTGCATTGAGGTATATGTGGAGACAAAAAACGTTATCTATGGAGGTAAAG